TTCTTTGTAAACTTTATATATAAGTTATTAACTCGTAATAATACATCTTAAAACACAAATACATTATACAAAAATACAAATAACATTTTCTTAATATCCTTATTCTATAAACTTTTTGTATTTGAAATTTTTTTTTTTTAGTTTTTAGTGCAAGCTATTTCAATCTCTATGAAAAAGCAGTGTGTCGATTTCTAATAGAACTAAAAATCGACTATCCTTACAATTCAGCAATCCACATTCTGGGGATATATCCCGAGGAATATAAATTATTGTGCAAGAAAATTTTAAAAAATACCTCTGTATACATATGTTTTTTTTTTTCCCCACCCTATTCACAATAGCAAAACATAGAAACAATTTTACTGCCCAATGAAAATAGACTGGATAAAGAAAATTTGGTACATATACACAATGGAGTATTATGGAGTCATTAAGAAGAACAATATCATGGACTTTGAAGCAAATTGGAAGGAATTGAAGATCATCATATTCCCTTATCTATGACAGAAACAAAGAATTAAATACCACATGTTTTCCTTCAACTATGGGACCTGAACATTATCACATTTGTGCAAAAGAGGGATTGGTAGCTGTATAATCAATAAATCAAAGGGGATTGTGCTCTAGTTTATTCGTGTTCTTATATCAAAATGACACGTAACAGGCAATTTGAAAACAATAGAAATTTATTTTTCATAGATCTGTAGGCTGGAAAATGTGAATGCTTGCTCCCTCCAGCACTTTTTAAGTTACACATCTATTCATGATGACAAAGCCTCATAATTTTGTGAGGTACTTTATGGTCCACCTCATAATACCATCACAATAAGGATTAAGTTTCAACATGAGTTTTAGAAGAGACACAAACTTCAAACAATAGGAAGAAATGTTACATTTCTTCACTGTTTAAGAAAGCTATTCTGTAAAATGCAGGACACTAATAAAAGAATATTTAAAGCACATTAAATAAGCAAGTCTGTATATTACAAAGAAAACAATAAAAATGGTGAAGATAAAGTTAATAAATTGGAATTTTAAAAATTGCTAAATTTCAATTCTTATAGTCTATTGTATTATAATTATTTATATTAAATAATATATTTCCATAAAAAGGAATATACTTATAAATGAAATAACTTCAGTATATAGAAATAAAATTATTTTTATTTAAAAAAATACCAAGAATGTTTATAATAAAAATAAGTGTTTGCTCTTTCAAGGAGACACTCCTTCTATAAGCCTAAAGAAAAATTTAAATAAGAACATGAAAACATATATCATGCAAAAGAAACTCAAAACTGCTATAGTTAACGTCCTGTCATAATATAAGAGAAAAGCATTATTGCAAATGAAGAAGCATGCTTCTAAAAATATATATTTATACCGAATCATTAGTAATATTTTAGAAATAGTTTATGTAGAAAGCTAATACAAGTTCAACATCGAATTGAAAGTGCTTAAACTGGTCCTCAAAAACAGGGATTTCACACTTTTGTCTTGCTGCTTATAATACAGACAATGCAGTGAGCCTAAAGAAGACTTAAGTTAAACAATTAATCAACACACCTATGAACACACATACACTCTCTATGCAAATATCAAATATTTATATTTTCAAGTTCACAAAGAAATGTTCCAAAAGTACGCTACGATATCATCCTGCCAAGCATTTTAACATAAAAATACAGTGCTGTATTTTCAAGACAGGACCATGGTAGCCAAGCTTTACCTGTTCAGACATGAATACAGTAACTCGAATTTAATATTACTTCACTAAAAATTAGTAACTTTTAAATCACTTCCTCAGTCTTAATAGTTACATTTAGACACAGATACAGAAAACTTCCAACTTCACAGAAAACCTTCTGATGATAAGTTATTTAAAATATAAATCATTAACCAAACATTTGAAAACCAAAATGACTTATAATTCAGTAATATATTTATAAATAAATTAAGGGCTAAAAATATCACAATGAATATTCAAAATTATATAAAATCTCATGAAAATAAAGTCTTTCTTGTGAAAAACAGGTTTTCTTAAATGTATACACAATAAAAGACAAAAGCAGAAATTGAATGATCTGAGAATTCAGCAAGAAAATTTAAAATGGGAAATTTGATATTTACTGCCAGTAAATAAAAGCAAAGTAGTAGAAGGAAAAAAATAAATAGTACAAATTATGATCTTAAATACAATTACAGTGGGGATGTACAACAAGCAAAAGTATTTTTATTGAAAAAACTGTAAAATTATGATGAAAGAATATTGACAACAAAAATCAGATAAGGCACAGATTTTTGTTTCTAGATTAAACAAGAGAAATCATTATGATTTTTACAGATATCAATCATTATTGATATTTAACTATATTTAGTATACATTTTAATATCCATATATCATTTAATCTAGAAAATAAAAGTTATCAAAATGCAGTACACAAACAGAAACTTTGTACTGTTATCATGTGCAAAAGAAATTGACTTTGTTATAAAAACTTTTCTACAAAAATATTTTAGGAACTCCGACGTCACTACTACTGAATAAGAACTTTTATATATAAAACAGCACTAAAAAAAAAAAAAAAAAAAAGAATATTCTAGGTTACAGAAAAAAGAGGACTACCTCTCAATTCAGCCTTGATAGCAAAATTTTAAATAAAAACAGCCAAACTTTCCTGTGAACATGGATAAAGAAACAAATATTACCTTGAATATAATATATTCACTGATTTATTTTTAAAGGGGCATTACACAATAACAATTATGATTTTTTTTCTTAGAAACGCGACTGGTTTAAAATATGGAAAAAATAAGTCCTAGCAGAGGTTCATATCTGTTATTTCAGCACTTTAGTAGGCTGTGGTTGGAGGATCGTTTGAATCCAGGAGACCAAACCATCCTAGGTAACATAACTCAGCAAAAATTAAAAAAAATAAAAGAAGAAGAAGAAGAACGAAAAGAAAAGAAAATAATTACTCCTTGTAATTACTCCTTGTGGTAGCATGTAATGTAACTGTTTTATCAAGTATTCAGGAGGTTGAGGAAAGAGGATTCCTTGAGTGCAGTAGTTAGAAAATGCAATAAGCCATCATTGTGCCACTACACCCCAGTCTTGGAGGTAGAGCAAGACTCCTTACACAAAAAAATTATAGTGTTAATACATGAAATCAATGAAGCAACTGAATATACGATCAACGTGCAAACTTGAATGGTATTTACACTTGTAGCAACACACATTTCTAAATTAAATTTTAAAATAAAGATGTCATTTATAAAAACAAGAAAGTAAAATACCTATATTACTGTGTGACTTCAAAACTAAAAAATATAAAATGAGTGATAGAGAGAAATTAAAGCAAATTTAACATAGAGATCATAGCCTAAATTTTGTTGGAGAAGTCAACACTACAAAGATCCATAGGCTTTAAAAATTATGTTACAGATTAAATGCAGTTCCAAATGTAAATCCCATTAGAGCTTTTTGATGTCATTATTTATTTATTTCATGCCAGTTGAGTAATATGCCCATTTCATATTAAGATTAGGGAGGCACATCTCACATATTCATGTGAAACCCAAGTATTCCATTTATAAAGTACAAAAAGTGAGATTTTATTTTTTATTTGAGGTGTCGTACATAATATGAATTTCATTCACTTAAAAATTTTAATATATTCATTGAGTTACAACAAAGAGTACTATCAAAAAAAAACAAAAACAAATACTGCAGCTATTGGCAGTCACTTTCTAATTCACGTTAAGCCCTTGGCCACCGCTATTCTATTTTCTGTCTCGATGAATCTGCCTATTCTTGATATTTCTCACAAACAGAATCACATTACATGTAATTTTTAGAAAGGTTTAATGACACAAATCTAATGTCCAGGAAAAGGAGTCAGGCACAGCAGCGGTGATATCTGCACTTCGTGGTGTGCGTATTATACTTTAGTAACTCCTTTTGAAATTTATTTTCATTGCTGAAACAAACAACATAATTCATTTTCAGATTTATGTGATCAAAATAGTATTTTCATTGAATAAAATATAAAATTACCTGACAGACTCCAAACTCAGGGGTTTGAATTCTGAAACTTATGCTTACAACTATATAGTAGTGAAACTATACATTTGTCTGCCTCAAGTAGTTGGAAGCTTATCTTTGCACAGTTGCATTGATGAAAATATTCTGTTATCCTGTAGTGAAGAAAAAAGCCCAATTCATTTTATTTTCGGGCAACAATCTGTGAAATAAGAGAATTATCCATGAATTTAAAAAAATAATACCCTGAAAACAGATTAGAACCTTTATCATCTTATAATAGTCGGTTATTAAACAATACTTAAAGTCACCCCCTTACTTTGAGAGAGACATTAACAACAGTGGATTCCTGAAACCATGAACAGTGCCAATATTCATACAAGTAAATACTACGTTTTTCCTCTACATTCATACATGTAAATTCGTCACAAAGATTATCAATATCTAATAACTTAACATATTAATTTTAGCAATACCCTTACATCACTACTCTTGCATTTGAGACCCATATTAAGTAAATTAAGGTGATGAACACAGCACTAAGAAGGCAGTGGGTCTGATAACTAGATGACTATAAGTGATGGACACCAAGTAGCATACACAGTATGGGTACTCCAGAGAAAACAATGATTCATGTTTCAGGTGGGAACGATCAACACTACCAAAGATTTCATCAAGCTACTCAGAGCAGTTCACATTTAAAACTCATGAATTGTTTTTCCTGAAATTTTCTTCTAATAACTTGACTGAGGTTGATCCTGAGCAATGAAACCACAGAGAGTGAAATTGTGGTTTAGGGGGTGTACTGTAGCACATTATGTAATATTTATTTCAGCATTGTACTAACTTACAAAATCTTTCCTCATGTATAAAAATCAACATAAGCTTATTCATATAATTCTTTGAACTTCTCCCTTTTATATATTTTTTCTCTTTATAACACTGTTCCAAAAAAAACTTACTTATATTTGAACATTGAGCCCTTTATTGACACCCATGGATGATCACTGCTGTTACGGAAGACTCCAATCCATGCTTCACGTACGAGAGAGACCAGAAATTTCTAACAGAAAATAAAAAATTTCATGTAAGTAACCATTATGATAGATTGTATTAGCTTTAAAAGTACAAATAGTGTATTTTTCATAAGATCCTTAATTTTTTAAACAATATACTAACCCTAAAAAAATTTCTGTAGTGTCTACATTTTTTGTGTAAATTAAAGGTCTTCAAGCATGTTTTTGTTAGATGTATATATTGCCTTGTAGTGAAGTTCACGGTTGAAGTAAAAACATCATCTGAAAAATGTGCATTGTACCCATTAAATAATTTTTCATCCATCATCTCTCTCTTTCTCTCTCTCTCTCTCTCTCCGTCACTTCAGTGCTTTCAAGGTCTGTATTTCACTCTTTATGTCCATTTGTACCTGCTATTTATCTTGCACTTAAATATGAGAACATGTGGTATATGATTTCTGTTTCTTATTTATTTCACTTATGATAATAGCCTCCAATTCTATTCCTGTTGCTGCAAAAGTCATGATTTGCCTTTAGGGGGTTGTGGAGTATTTCCTAGGGTATGTGTCTGTTTGTATGTGTTATTGTGTATGTGTGTGTGTATATATATAAACACACATACATTTGGTATATGTGCATGTATATATATGCATAATACATTTTTATTCAAACATTTTTATTCAAACATATGTTAATAGACACTTAGATTACATCCATATCTCTGATGTTGTGCATAAAGCAACAAAAAATGTATAAGTGAGTGTTTCTTTTTGATATAATTGGTTTTCATTTGTGTAGACACCCAGTAGTGTGACGACCAGATTAAAAGGCACCTCTGCTGTTATTTTTGAAAAATCTCCAAATTGTTTTCCATAATATTGTACTAATTTACATTCCCACCAACAGTGTACAATGATCTGATCTCTCCACGTGCTTGTAATCATCTGTTATTTTTTTCTTTTTATTGATAGTCATTTTGACTGGCATAAGTTGGCATCTCATTGTAATATTCATTGATATTACTTTGATGATTAGTGATGTTGGGCATTTTTATATGCTTGCTGACCATTTTGATATACGCTTTTGAATAGTGTTGATCTAAAGAGAACTCAAATGTTTAACTTAATAATTTTATACTCTTTCTCAAGTTAATTTAAAAAACTGTTATTCACATAATTTAATAGTCACACATTGTCAAAACTAACAGCATGGGTTTGTATAAGTTTCCAATTTGTACATTCGTTTCTCAGATACTGTAACTAAATCAATATATTTTTCACAGACATTCAGAGTTGTGGTTTAGAAGGGAGCTAAGAAATTGCCATCAAGAAAATAAATGGCATATCCCCAAACTCCTCTTTACTTGTTTCTTAGAGGAACCACATCATTTAAAATTATATAAGCCCCCATGTTTACCTGATTTCTTTTTTATTGACTACAGTGTTCCAAGGCCAGGTGGTATATATGCATTGTCTGTATTACTCCCTACTACATTCAAGTATAAGGTATAAAACAAATAAAAAACAGAAGCAAAGGAGAGCTGGGAATGGTGGAAATAGAAGGCTGAGCCAGGCTCAGTGACTCAGCCTGTAATTCCAGCACTTTGGGAGGCCGAAATGAGAGGATTGCCTGAGCCTACGAATTTCAGATTTGACTGGGGAACTTGGCTAGACCTTGTCTAGACAATAGATCAAGAATTAGCCGGGAGTGGTAGCGTGCACCTGTAGTTCCGAAGCCTGAGGTTGAAGGATCGCTGGAGCCCAGCAGGTGGAGGCTGCGGTAGCCAGAGTGTGCCACTGCACTCTTCCAGTCAGGGTGACACAGTGACTCCAACTCAAAAAATAAAAATAAAAAAATTAAAAAGGTTGAAATGCTTTGAAACCTAGGGCCAGAGATCATCAGAGTGGCTGGATATCCTCAAATCCCCACGAACAGAGAAAATGAAGCAGGTTTGCTGTTTCCTAGCAACTGATCTAGCAATATTTGTAATATTAAAACAGGCCAAAGGTTTGGGGAGGAGGCAGCAGTAATGGGGACACACACAGAAGCAGGACTGTTGTTGGTGCTAGAAACATCTGTTTCATGATTTTTGTACTGCACGAATTCATTCATTTTGTGATCAACCTGCACATCCAGTAGAATTAAATCGCAAAATTTGTTTTAGAATCAAAGCATCTAGGGTTGCATGCTTTCAATGAAAAGAAGTAAGGAAATGTGCATTAGCAGAAGTGTATACAAATAAACTATTTCAAAGTCAAACAATAAAATTTTCTTTGTTGAAAATATTTCAACAAAATATGTACATGAAAATAAATTATTTCTACAAATATATTGCGCAGTGCCGGGCTCGGTGGCTCAACCTGTGATCGAAGCACTTTGGAAGGCTGAGGTGAGTGGATTGCTTGAGCTTGAGGGTTCGGGACTTGCCTAGACAACTTGGCGAGACCTCATCCCTACAATAAATCAAAAAATTAGGCGAGCGTGGCAGCGTATGACTGAAGTTCCGGGTACGTGGAAGGCTGAGCCAGAAGGATCGCTGTAGCTCTGCAGGTTAAGGCTGCAGTGACCAGTAGTGGCCACTGCACTCCAGTCTGAGCAACAGAGTGAGACTCCAACTCAAAAA